AGTCACAGACCTTATCTGGCTTGGGAGGATTTACAGTCACAGACCTTATCTGGCTTGGAGAGCTGCCAGGCCGATATCTCTAAAACTTGGCAAGGAGTCTCCGAGAGTCAGGAACCAATTAAGCAAATTGTCTCCTGCAAACTCCACTCCCCTTTCGCTCCTCTTTTATTTCCTCTGGGAGGGGCCATTCACCTGTGGCCTTACTCCCAAGTCAACCCCTGTTCTTTTGCTGTTCCCTTCCTCTGGCAACTCTGGGAACAGGCTCCATATATTCATCTGCCTCACTGCTGTCTGACTCTGAAGGCAGCTGATAACTGACATACGGCTCTGTCCCCCTCTCTGCCTCCGACACAGAGCCCTCATCCGAACCTTCCCCAGACTCCAGGACTGGCCCATCTTCCTCCCCAACCTCCTCACTGTCCGAATCTGCTGCCAGCTCTGCTGGCCGCTGGTGGCCCATAACACTCTCCAGGAAATTAAGACGTCATTGAAATGGAAGGCTTAGAGAGAGAGCGGCATCTTTCTGAATTTTGACAGAGAGAGAAAAATATACCAGATTATCTCTTACTATATCGAGGGCAGCAAAGACGTTGAAAAAACCCGATCCATTAAACAGCAGCGTGAAGTTATACGCTTGGATGGAGTAACAGAGATTGTGGCAATCTTGATGTATTTGCAGTTGGCTGTCCTAAGACAGTAGCAATTTCTCAAGGAACAACAAAATGCTGCACCCTTACACATCAGGATTGACTTCTCTCCCAGCTAATAATGTTATCCGTATAGCGTATGAATTAAGCAGGAGTATTGCTGTCTAATAAGACAAGATTAAAGGGAATTTTGTGGTTAGTTGGCCTAGGGATATTTTGGTTATGCAATTGGGTTATTTGTCTGGCCATTATTTCTTGCGCAAGGAGACAGTTTTTCTTGCTCAAAATCAGTTAACGATAGATTGATAGTTTGACGCTAATTAATTTTGTTGATAGGCAAACGAAGCACCAACAAGGAATTCAGCAAAAGTTGGAGGGAAGGAAGATGCGAGGTACAAGGGGGGGGAGGGGAGATTTTTTAAAAAGGCATTAATCTTCTTTCCCCCATTCCTTTCCCTTCCCTTAATTTCCTATTTCTATTTTTTTCTTCGTATTTTATATAATGACATCAGTATAATGAAATTAATATAATAAACGAAAAGGAGGAATTGTAAAAGTTGAAATTCTGGGACATTCTCATCCCACAGCCATTTTTGTTCAAAATATGAAGAGCAAGCATGAATGGATTAAAGATCCTTCAACTCTGCAATATTTATGGTGCAATCCTATGTAGGGAAGAGTTCTATTAACTCAGAGCTTGATCCAACTTAAGCAGGCTTACAAAGATCAAAAGTATTCTGGGTGGAAAATTTGAGAAAAGCAACTTATCCTCTAAGTAATGCGCAACTACTTCAGGAGTTAAACCCCATTTCAGAATTTGAAGGTTTAACTGTAACGAGCCTAAACTTTCCAAAGATGCTTTTCAAAAATCAACTGGACTTCCTTGATTCTGCCCCCACCCCCTTTCTGAAGAACCGAAGAAGCTTCTTGGAGGAGAAGCGAAATGTTTTCAAGAAAGTCCAAGTTGCCTTTTTGAAAAGAAAAGGGAAAAAAAACACTTTTGGGAAAACCATGGATCTGGATGAATGAGGATCTCCAGACAATCCTAAACCTCAACATCACGTTGTAAAACACGTAAGCAATCTGTGGATTTTCAACGATTGTGAAATAAGCACAGAAACCATAGGGAGCTGCGCTATAAATCACCCCACAATTCTCAGCACGTTAAAAAAATAAAATCTGGCCTCTTTCCTCATGTTTTATAGCCATTGGCCAAACTTTCAGAAGCCTGCAAACTACCCGCGTCACTTGATGCAGACTGAAAGAACAACTCACTGATTTATACGTAAACTAGCAAGCTATATTTGTGCTGGCGGTGGCCTTCAGGAATCTTTCCAGTGAAGTAATTTTGACAGCTATGATCCCACTGCCTTGGTTGGTGCAGCGCCGTCCTGATAAAATGTTGGTCCTGTTACACAGCTTCAGTAACTGGCAAGGATGATGGGATCTGTGATCCAAAACATCAAAACTGCAAGGAGTAGAAATCCTTCCCTTCCCCAACATTCAGTCAGAGCTGAAGAAGCTTCTTGGTTGAGAAGCAAAATGTCTTCAAAAGAAAAAAAAAACTAGAAAGTCCAGTTGCCTCTTGAAAAAAAAGCATCTTTGGGACCGCCATGACCTGGATGGTTGAGAATAGACAGCCAGCTGATGTATTACAGGATGAATTACTCAATCATTTACCGGTATATCCGTGTTTCTCAATTCGGGCCATTTTGAGATGCGCGGACTTCAACGCCCAGAATTCCCCAGCCAAGCTTTTGAAAAAAAAACTGATTCACTCTCATTGACTCTGGATTTGCTAAGTGAAACACCTAGAAAGTTATGAACCAAGTCTGGTACACCTTGGAGGAATCATGCTGGGGAAAATGGACTTCCTGAATCAGCAGTCCCAGGGCACCTTCTATCCCACGGGT